GGCCCGGCCCGCGGCGCCCGCAGCGCCTCGGCCACCCACTGGGCCGACACGAGCGCGCGGAAGAGCTGCGTCGAGGCCATGGCGGCGGCGACACTTGGGCTGCAGGCCTGCGCGACAGGGAGGATGTCAGGAGAGCAGAGAAGGAGAGGCTGGCCCGGTGAGGAGAGGAGGGAGGGACAGGCCGTGCCACTGGGGCTGAGGAAGGGGCTGGGGCAGGGGCTGTGCGGGAGGTGGTGCCATGGCAGGCTAAAGTCCAGGGAATGCTAAAAACAGCGGTGATGAACCCAGGCACAGATTTGGGTCTCTAGGGTCCCTGCTGCCAGGCCTTGGATACATTACACAGCGCCCAGGGAAGGAATGGCCATGACCTCACTGAGAGGGGCAGATGGCCCCTCACCACTACCTACTGGGCCGGAGGGTGGGTAGACAGATGGCAGGAGCAGAAGGCGGCCCTGCTGGCACTTTAAGGTAAGCAGGGGCGAAGTCTCAACCCCGCCCTAAGATGCAACTCAGCTTCATTTGCAACCAAACAAGGTCCCTGGTGGATTCACTCACTCATTCATCAAGCATTTATTTTAGATATCTAAATGGAATAGTAGCTGGAATGTACTGAGTCCTTGCTGAGTACCACTTAATCCTTAATACCTTAGGTACTCTCAATTACTTGAACGAGTAGCGCTAAGTGGTTTGGTATTATCGACACCATTTTACAGAAGGGGAAATGGAGGCTCACAGAAGTGCACTAACTTGACCTGGTGGCGCCAGGCTTCACATGAGGCAGCCTGGCACCAAATCCAGACTTCTCAGCATCAGGCGCTGTACTGGCCCTGGGTGTCCAGCAAGGCCAGGTTTGGCCCCTCCCATGCCTGAACTTTCTGGCCCTTCTTTTAGCAGCAGCAATAGACTTAGTCCCTCACTACCCCTGCATGCCAGCGGCTGAGAGTACACCAGCTCACCAGCCCACAGTGACATGCAAGCCCACAGCCTTCCAGGACCGAGACTCTCCAAATGCTTTAAGTCCCTAGTGCTGGGCGGCCACTAGTACGTAAGGTGCTTCTGTGCAAGTTAGATAAAAGTGCCCTTTGGCCAGGCAGATCCCCAAGCAGGTCACATGGCTGGGTGTGTGGACTGTGGGCTGCAGGTCAGCCCCCACTCACCCCCTCAGCTGGGTGCCCCCATGCAGGGCACAACCTGTGCATCCATACCAGGCAGTCCTGCCAGTGAGATGAAGGGGACAGGTAGAGAACAGTGTTTGTGGACTGCAGCTGTGGGCCAGGCAACATGCTAAGCACTGCCGCCTCAAGGAGTACGTATTAGGATGTCTGTTTTATGAATGAGGCAACTGGCAGTGAGAGGGACAAGTGCATTGCCCTTGCTCACAGAGCTAGTCAGGGACAGCCTCAGAATTTGAAGCCAGAATTCAGCTCCTGAGGCTGGACTTCTTCCCCAGCCCCAGGGCCTAATGAGTCCACAGTGTGACACTGTGCTCCCTCTCCCCCCCACC